ATTTATTGTGTGATTTATTTATTTATTACAAGGAGACAAAATTACATACACATTTTAGGCTTCTTAGCAGCTGGTAGTGTGCACACTGCACAGTCTGCATAACCACTCATTTGAGGTACTTAACTAGTGTCATATTCTACACATCTAAAGTGGAACCATTGCCCACAGAGATCGCATAAAATCATGTTGTCGTATTCTTCTGACAGTTTACATTCACATAACATATTATAAAAACAATCGCTTGCAAATTTTATCAATACCAGTGTTAACAATAGCCGCCACAGTAATCAGTGACTAATCACTTGCTAACAATAAACTATAGGATTAATAAAAAATCTATGGAATGTGTTGGGAAGCGTATTGACTATTGTCCGTTGAATCATCAACTTTCCATGTCAGTGTTAGTGATGTAATCTTGATTCTTGACTTCCACAAAGAAAATTGCATTATATATGTGGTGTGGTTTATTCAAATAATTTCATGATACTTTGATTTTATTAGTGCCTTAAACATTTGAGAATGTAACTCTGCAAAACTAAAAGCTTTTTTGTCTTTTTTGAAACGTATATTATTGGAGTATTGCCTATTGGCAAGTTCTACCCTTCGCTTCTGAGATTTACAAACTATATTGAAATAATGCAAGTAAAAAATAGTGACAACTTATAAGCCACACATTTTCCAATAACGACAAAACGTGGATGCAAAACAATACCAATAATTACAATAACCACCACGGTGATTACTTTTTAACAATGAGTTTAAGGATTAACACTGAAATGCAAAATATGCATGGTGTGCTGTGAAGCGTCATAAGTCCTATTGATCTACTGTAACTGTGTAAGCCCTTTCGATACATGTAATTGTAAATTTGTATTCTTACATGCAGGGCTTGAAATAATAAACGTTCCCAAAGTTCACGATCATGGTGATCGGCAGTCATGACTTTCCCTGCTTTTTTCAGGTTGGAAACCGAAACCCTGCTTTTCCGCCGATCATATTAAAGCAATTCCTTGCCGATCGGTGATCGGTTGTTATTTCAAGCTCTGTCTTAACAATTTTGAATTGATACTGATTTCAAATGATTAAAGCCATGTAATAATTATCCCATGCAACTGTTAGGAAGGGCGAAATATTGAACGGAGGACGAAAATCCTAAAGAAAAGGTGAAGTTTCTAAAGGGGGCCGAATTTCCTAAAGGGGGCGAAATTCCTAGGAATTTCGCCCCCCGGGGGGCGAAAATGTAGGGGGGGGGGCGAAAATCCTGGGACACCGGTGTCTGACGCATGTTTAAACATATGTTTAAACCAAGCTTGTTGAAAGATTGTGTGTTGACGCAGGTTATACAATATGGCGTCAATTCTTTAGATATCCTATTTTGGTTAACGACGAGTTGCAAGCGATAGAATCTTTAAAAAAAATTAATAATCAATATTGAATAATACTGCTGTTCCTTGAAAACTTTCTCGAGCTTTCTAAATTGCATCTATACGAAACCGAATTTGAATTTAAGACAAGGCCTTTGAATTAAATCTATTTTAGTTTTAATTCTCTGTATACATGCACTGATTTCTAAAACTATTCCTTATATTGTATTTTATCGCTGGCAACTAAAGAATCGTTTTTTTGCCTCCGCTGTTTTGGCAAGATGTCTATAGTCTCGCTGTCTGATAAAGCACTCTTGCAGCTCGTGTTTTATCTGCTACATAATGATAATAGAAAGACTAGTAATGAATAGTCAAACTTGTTGAGTTTTTATTCTTCAATTTATTTCATTATGTGCAGAAGCATTCAATGAGCCAAAAAACTGCTGATATTCTGATACGCCGCCATTCAGCTTTGGGTGGCTTTTCAGCCGAAGTCTGTGAGATAAATCCACTGTATATAACAGCGACTGTTTTGACGAATGAGGGTAAATTTGCTTTGTAAGTGGTTAGTTTATTTTGAAAAATTGCTTTTCACATGAGATGCCACCAAAAAATGGCAGATATTCGTCGTCTGATTATTCATCAGCTCAATCATATATATTGTCGTAAATTCCCCCGGGAGTCTTATCTATTTCTGACATGTTTTTTTTGGGGGGGGTTTTACTTACATGTGATTCTTTGTCCTGTGAGGCGCTTAATAGCGAGAGAGACTGAATCAACGTTAAGAAAAGGGTTTCACGAGAGGAGGATCTCACGAAATTAACCACTTATAAAGTGAAACTTATGAAAGTGAAACTAGACTAAAAACTGCTCTGTTTTTTACCTCCGAAAGGTTGCCACTACAGCTTGTTTCATCCAAAAGGAATCAACAGGTGGCTGACAGCGTTTGACTGATGTCGTGAGGGGGTCTGGCATTTGTACAGCACTGAACTATAAATAAACCATATTTATTCATAGTATAGTTAAATGAATGGTGTACAGACGTAAATTCTCCCTCGTGACGAGGAAGAATTTACGTCACGCTAGGAAATCACACGATTTTGCGTGGCAAAAATAATCGGACAGCAAAGGAAACGACTGTCGGAATTTGTCCAAAACTTGCCTTTCTGAATTCGTAAGGTAAATAAAAGCGGTACACTGGAGCTGTACCGAAGAAAACTTGTGAAATTTTGACGGCTGATGGTGCTGTGCATGTTTTTATTTAGCTCAAAACATTGGCAATATATTATCTTCAGCAAGGGGCTGAATATATTATATTGTCAAACTTTGTAGTCTTGAAGTTGATTTATAGTGTGCATAAGTTCATGTCTAGGTATCATTAATATATTTTATATTCTTCACTTGATATTCTTCAAGTTATTATTTTAGTCATCTTTTGTGATTTCTTGTATTCCTTGAAGATATCTGCTCCATCCGCACTTGTTCCTGAATACGTTCTCACTTTTCGTTCCTTCACAAATGGTCCGCATTGCAAGAATGAAAAAGCGTAAAAAAACGCCTCACGGTATCGCTTAAGTCTATACGCATAAATGATGGGGTTTACTATAAAGTTTAGTAGTTCGATAGGGTAAAAATATTTGATAAACTTGAGTATAACCGTTTCGGTGTTTTGGCTTAATGGCGGCCGGAAGCCAAGTGCTGAGAGGAAGTAGATCTGTAGTGCAACCATATATGGTAATAGAGTGACCACAACTATCACGATCAAAATTAATACCACCGTTGTCACGTGATTGTTCAAGCGTTGTTTATATATATGTTTCCTGGTAACTATGGACACGTCGCGGTCACATAAAATATTGCCTCGTTTACGTTGCTGCATTTTGAATATAACATAACCTTGACTTAGTAAGAATATAACGACACATAGTTCATATAATATTGTCATGGCCAGCTGGGTGATGACAGTGTAAAAATGGACGAGGAACCCACAAGTAATCGCAAAAATCCAGATTAAAGATATAACAATAATTGTACGTTTACAGTCACAATTGTCTTGGACGCAAAAGGATAATGGAAAATTAGCATTCTCTCAAGAGACAGGAACATTAAACTCATTAACGATGCTTCAATAGTTGTCCAGACCATTGGTATTTGAAATTTGAATATGGTATCATTACGAGTGACTAAGAGCAGCACTGAAATACCTGAAAAATATCAAGAATGACAAATAATTCCTTATGAAGACTAACCTTTTGAAGACCACATTGTTAACATGTTAGTTCAAGATTCTTTATGATAAAACCAGATTGTGAACATAAGATATCAGGATTTGGGGCATCTACACTCGATATAACTAAATGTAGGTGGGTTTAAGAATGGAAATCTTGGGTGTGAATTTTGAAAACATTTATTAGACCTAATTCTGGCAGGAATCAAACGTGCAGCCAGTGCCGCTCTCGTACCCAGAGCCCTTCTTACGCGCGGTGCGACGAGGGGCTCTGGCCAAATCCATAACCGGATACTATAAAAACATGGTAAGAAAACAATATCCGCTGTTAGAACTAGCCAATCAGATGCCAGTTCGGAATATGGATTTGGCCAGAGCCCCTCGTCGCACCGCGCGTAAGAAGGACTCTGGGTACGAGAATGTGCCGCTCTCTGCGAAGTATAGTAGTCTTACCCGTAAGGCAGTCAGCCAAGGCGAGATTCCCAATTACATAACTTGTTCCTACTCGGAATTCTGGCGTCTTGTTTCTCCATAAGACAATCAGTAAAACTCCATTAAAAAGAACTCCAAGTGTACCCAGGATAGCCAAGATGACATAGTAGGATTCAGGTTCATCTCCTTCACCTAGAACTGTACTGTTGCTGATATTGTTTAATACCGACATCTCTCTATGCTTCAATCGTCCTAAAAAAAACAAAAAAATGGAAATAGAATTGTTACGCCTATTAAATAGAACTGTTGCAAAATACATGATCAACCTCGTACCCAGGGTCCCCGTGTTTAAAGGTAACCTTTAAAAACGGGGCCCTGGGTACGAGGTTGATATCGTAGTTCTGCACATGCGCAAATGCAAATGATGCGCATAACTCCTTCTGCTCACAAATTTCGCAACTGCCGACTACAACAACACGTCAGCTCTAACACCGCGGAAAAACGTCTGCGCATGCACCAAATTATGAAAATATGGCGGGAAATTTGAATATTAATTTCTAAAACAAAAACATGCTCATTAATTGGTCAAAAATTAGTAAAACAAACGAGAAAATATAGCAAATGGGTAGACTAGACATTAATTGAAAGCGTCCTGGCATTTAAAGTATGGAATGAAATAGAATTCATGTAAAAAATTGTTGATTTTAACGGACATGACTTCGAAAATTTTTGCAAAATTATTCAAAACAAGAATTCAAACTCAAAAGTTAAGAAAACTCTCGAAAAGTTAAGCTTCTTAACCCACTCAAATTGTAGAATAAATCCTAAAGTTTAATTATTGTGAACACGAAAATTTTTTATATTTGGCGACACAGTTTTTTTAAAGAAATGTATCTCAAACGAAAATTCGGAAATTGTCGTTGCTTAGTTGATAAACAAAATGTTTCAGACGATAAATTTGTCAACAATCACCTTTAATTCATGTTCTTGTACAATACAATTTCTTGAACCTTCTGGCTGTATTTATTCCTAGTTTTTAGAATGACATGTTTATTTTCGCGCTCGAAATCTGGCTGTAAAGACGCACAATGAAGTCACTCCTTTTTACCGCCATTTTGAGCCTTCGGAAACGTTCGGAACAGCTTCTCATCACTATTACAGGTAAGGTTGGCGCATGCGCAGACGTTTTTCCGCGGTGTTGTCAGCTGTTGGAAGGTTTTCCAAACTATTTTTCAGTAATATGTTTCCTATACTAATGCACAGAGTCCGAGATATTTCGGAATGTGAAAAAACAGAGATATGGTTAACGTTTAAAATGACAGTTTTGCTTGCTTTTAATTTAGCTGATCTGCACGTAATCTCTGACGCTGTGATTCTTAATTTCATGACAGATAATAATATCTATATATTAAACTGAATCCAGTTTCAGAGGTGGATGCGATACATTATTACAAAGATAAACGTCATGTATTTCGCGTTCACGCGCGCGAAATTCATGAGCCGTCACGGTTGGTCAGAAATTTCACTTGACACCGGGGCACAAGAGTTGAGAAAACCTTTATGCAAACTCTCGCTTCTCAACTCTCATTGTCGTTTGACCAGGACTTTAAACTTGCTTATTTGCATTTTTCCTTTTTTGTGTTGGTTGGTTGGTTGGTTATATATATGCTGGCCCCATCAACTCCATGGGGGACGTGTTTAACTGACAGAAAATTTTTTTATTAAAAAAATAAGCTAAGCTAATTACTAAAACACATTTGAACTTGTTTTCCTTGCACCGGTCGTAGCTCTCATGCGTCAACTGCTCGTCAATATGTTAAATATTGTTGAAGAGAAAGGGCGATATAAGGAGCTTCTTTAATGATGGGGGTCTTCAATGAAGATTTACGCTATTTCAAATTGTTAACTTCTGATAAGTAAAGGTCTCTTTGGTATACAAGCTTTCACAGACAGTTTTTTGACATACAGTATAGGTGAAAGAGTCAAAGTATCTCATTTTGTATCTCATTTTGTATCTCATTTTGTATCTCATTTTGTATCTCATTTTGTATCTCATTTTGTCTCCGCGTGTTTGAACAAGACTTGACTTCGTAGACAATAAAGAGGATTAAACGTTGAAAATCGTCACGAGGAATTATTGTATTATTAAAGTGTCTGGTCTGCATATTTAACCCACTGCATCAGTGATTTAAAATTACGTAACTTCGCATTTAACATTATCTTCGTAGCAAGCCGATCCCTCGTGACAAGGATGAGAGTTGGCAGGGAGGTATTTCTAGCTCTATTTTAACAAAATATAGGTTTGATAAGTGTTTCAACTACATTTTAATTTGGGGAAAGCATTAAGAACAGCTAACCAAGATCGCGTGACTGCCAACTCTCACGTTGGCGTTAGCTGGATCATTCAATGATTTACATGTCATGCTCGAGGTCACGCAGGCAAGTTCATTTAGGAATGTCAACTTATCATCTGCTTGATGTTTACACTGTTTTAACATAGGAATTCAGTCCCAAAAGCATGGATGCCAGCACTCTCCTAACAGTAACAAGGCATGCAAAAAATACTTTAATTAATTAAATTTCTCCTAAGAAAGAGCGAGATTATGGTCAATGTAGATTAGCCACACATCATTAGTTCAACACTTGGCGAGATCACGCGATACCCCAGGAATAATAATTCTATCATGTACGCTATTTCTAAAGCCAGTCTTTTATACACAAAGCAACCCATTCTGGGCGCATACATGCAGTTAATAGATTGATAGATAAATAGATAGATAGATAGCCACATACCTTGTGAGTGAAGACTATTTTACCAGCTTTATTTAACTACATGTAACAATACAATGATCCCATTTCTGTAATATTTATAATTTCGTGTCATGTTAGTACATGTTTGGATTTAGTGCAACCCTGGTACCCAGGCTATTTTCTCTCGCACTCTGCCGGTGAAGGCTTGACTCGTGACGCATGCAGTTAAAGCGCGGAAATCCGACGTAACCAAGACGCTGCCAAATATATATATATATATATATATATATATATATATATATATATATATATATATATATATATATATATATATATATATATATATATATATATATATATATATATATA